CGCAGTTTATCAGTTTGAATCATGGCAAAAAATTGAGATCAATATGATATCATATTGATCTCAATTTTTTGCCATGATTCAAACTGATAAACTGCGCATGCGCCTGAGTGTAAAGAATTAATTGCTTTATTCAGATTTGAATTCCCAACAAAGACTATAGCCCGGTTGAGGCTCCTATTTTTCACACTCGCAGATTCCCCTTCTTTAACGTTCAAAATGTATTTATATATACAGCATTACGGAACCGAACGACCTTTTAGAGTTTATACTCTATTATATCATGATACACAGTAGGCCTATAATTTTAAACGGTAAAGAAGAGAAATAAGCGAGTGTGAATCCCGGAATCTTCCGCTGTCTGTCGTCTTAACCAACAGCACCACTGTAAAGCCATTGGAAGTCTAAACCGGAATAGAGACAATAGCTATGCAGCTACAACATATTCGACACCCCCCCCCCCGCCACACACACACACGTGAAACTGTGTTCAATGTAAAGCTCTCTTCTTTAAGAAGTTTAACAAGGCGAAGAGGTACTTAGGCCTATATAAGAAATTTTACACATAAAGGAAAAATTCTTAAAAAGTAGGCCTAAAGAAAAAGAATTTGCGAGTGTGAAAATCACAACGAATTGGAACCCCATACTTTCTGCTGTTTATGCAGACGCCTTTACCAACTGGGCCATAGGAAGTTCGACTCCGATTTGAGGCAATTGATATACAAATAAGCATAGCATATGGATGGGTCAGTCGAAGATTTATAGATAAATCCTAAACTTAACAGTAAATTATATGCCAGCATTGTTCATCTGTTTACTTTCTGTTTAACGTGTGTGTTTGAGTGACCATAGTGCTCCTTCCCCACACACATAAGACTCAAAGAGTTACCTCCGATCGAATTCGAATTTACCACTAAGCATCAGAGACCCAATTGGTTAAGGAATCTGACAACTGGCTATCCTGTGGTACCTATAGTACAGACTTTTATTGTTTTACTAGCTGGATATAGGAGCTTCCGTGACACTATTACATGGGAAAAAGGATTGTGGCGAGCTATATATACAGCTATACGTGACTTCTTTTACTGGCTGTTTTTCAGTTCACGGAGAGAGGCTAATAAGCTGGACTTCGCTGTATTGATAATAAAGTAAGCTCCAAACCTGTTCATACACAAATAATAAGTAATAAAAATAATGAATATAATAAAATTGTTTAGAGAGTAATTTTTTTTGTTCATTTAGCAACCAACACGTCGACAAAGCCTTTAATATATTATTTGTACATCATAAGTACCGATAGGTCCTATCACATATTAAATGCACCTCCTAATTGAACTGTAAAATAACTAACAAAGTATGTTTCTCTAATTCTTCAGCTGCGTTTATGAATTTCCAGAAGAGTGCTTTACAAAAAAATCGGAAATTGTGCTTAAGCTTCAATAATGCGTAAAGCATGCTGCTACTGGATTAGAAACCCTGGACTTCATTTATTAGGACCATTTGGGTGGGATTCTTTTCGAGATGGGCTTATTATTTTTTCGAGATCAATTTTGCAAAATAAGTAGGAGGCTTCTTTATAAAATGAATGCTATCAATATTTGGAATTGCTACTATAAAACCATATAGGCCTACTGTATGACTACTGAAAACATATATTCAAACACGGAATTCTAAATTCTGTTTAACAAAAAATATAAACATTATTATTTCAATTAGGCCTATAGTGATGACGAAAACATGCCGACGACATGCTTCTATTCGAAGTTTTACGGTAATTAAATACAACTTCATACTGATGGGAATCTTGCCAACATACTTGTGTACCGGTTATGATTTATATTTTTCTCCCACTGCCTAGTTATTTTGTTCTCTTGCCTTCAGATTGAATATTGTTTCTGTCGTTAATATTTAAGTTTATATATACATTTCAGGGGTCAGATGGGTGGACCAAGCATATCAATCCCAGATAAAGTTGTGCCTGTTGCTGACGCAATAAAATCTGCAATAGGTAGGGATCATCACATAATGTCTAAATGATATTTATAAAATAGTAAGTTTTTCTTAATAAAAGAAAGCAATGGAATATTCCCTAAATTGCTATAGTTATCAGCTTGAGTTTCAATATCGTTACCATTTAACGTATAACCAAACTTATGTTAATTAAAAATAGAAATGTTCGCCCTATTTCCTCTTTGAATATTCATGTTGGTAATGAAACCATTGGTGAGGTAAAAAGCATCAGTTACCGGTATTTAGGACTTCAAATTGATGAAAACCTTACCTGGAATGACCATATTCGAAAATTAAATAAAACTATTGGGTACAAAATTAACATCCTAAATAAATTGGCAGAAACACTAAATGAATCTCTTCTAAATATTCTTTATAGAAGTACAATACAACCCTGTATGGAC